GGGGACCACATAACTGCTAGAATGGAAGAAGCATCACGCGCGTGTTCTTCGCCGGGTGATGAGTGTCATCCTTGGTAGTAATCATAGCGTACTAGCTGTAGGATATGGTAATCTCTTGTAGTTTCGATAAATCGGGGACCACATAACTGCTAGAATGGAAGAAGCATCACGCGCGTGTTCTTCGCCGGGTGATGAGTGTCATCCTTGGTAGTAATCATAGCGTACTAGCTGTAGGATATGGTAATCTCTTGTAGTTTCGATAAATGGGGGACCCCAATTACTATAAGCGAACCCCAAAATGGGAACCCAAAATTTTGGAAGCCCCCCCCCCCATATAATCGGGCCCTAGCTTCAGCCCTTTTCCTACCCACCAGCAGGAACAAACCAGCATTCAAGGCTCAAAGTGATCTTTGGGTCAACTAAGGTTTCTAGGTCTGTGCGATTGATGTTGGAGTGGCGCAGGAATATGCAGTGACTCGGTTTGGTTGCACACGGGTCCTCTGCCCACTCCATACTGGGCCATAATATCATGAATCTCTTCGCAAGGATGCCCAAAACGGGATTGATCCTAATGTAGACCCCTCATAAATAAACCGCCTTTTAAGGGCCTTAATATTGGGATCCCGATGATAATCCCTATTAAATACCGATTATACTATAGTAGTTTCCATTTTCTTTTCCATTATCCCTATTAAGGGAGGGGGTTTATTAATCAGGGGTCTACATTACGTTTTGAGGTCCGGACTGGTGGCGTTGCTTCGTAAGCTTGGTTGTTCTCCAAGCTGTAAACCCCAGTTGTGTAATTACGCAGCGCACCGCCAAATATGCGGAATTGCGAGGCCAGCCAACTCAGGCAACTACAACATCACATGAGCTTTAGTCTAAACTCCTTATAAGGAGGTTATATAGGGGGTTATATAGGGGACTACTATAGGGGTTATTAAGGGGGATACTAGGAGTTTAGACTAGGGCTCACATAGCTATCTCCTTTACGAATGAGTTGACAATTTGTTTAGGCGTGGCGAGGAGTCCCCCTGGCCCTGCCTACCCGCACAGACGTGGCGCCCTTGCGGATGGCCTGATGAAGCAGCCAAGTCCGATTCTAGACAACTTCTTGCTTAACTTCCATAATGCTCATGTGAGAATGCATACTATCCCGTCCTCCATCGCCATCGGTGCGTCCAATCAGCAACTCTTTTTGCCACTAGCTTCACCAAGATTTCTATACTTGAGGGATTCCGAACGCTGCGACCTGAAGCATCGAGTGTTGCAGGATTTGCCACGGGTTCTGATCCTCTCCGCCATGTAATGGAAAACAAGGGTTGGGGTTTTACTGTACCTTCCGCGGCAGTAGATTACCCCAAGCGCCCAAATCAACCTTTTCTTGCTGGGTAGCGCCAGCTGTGTACAATTGCAGTTGCCCATGCGCGTGGCTGGCCTCTTCGAAGTCCCCCGACATGCCCATACTTAATCGAATCTCGTCTTCCGGAACCTGGAGACAAGAGGCTTCTGCAATGGTTGTATGTCGGCAGAAAAACTAGGGATGGTATGTGGCTTCTGGATTTTGGTTGTTCCAGTCCAGAGGAATTCTATGATGTTCCTGCCAGCTCTGTAAGGATGCTCTACGAGTTGGGCAGCCTAATGGAGTAAGAGACTCATCGTGACCAGCAGCGAATTTTTATCACGGACATCGACCACCCCCTTCACCAACTTTAGAAGGTTTGTCTCAAAACTCGGAAAATCTGTACAAAGTGCAAGCTGCAATGACAGGGGATGGATGATGCACACGTGAGAACTACGGAGCACAAGTTACTACAGTAGCCCATCCGGCATGAAACCGCGTTGGCAGCATGCAGAAGACTGCTGGCATCTATCGTATGGGCCCAGAAACCCAGAGGTCTAGAAGCGACTGGAGGCTGCAGGCATACCGCGTACCGTGGTGCTTTCCTGCTGACCCTGCAAATCAGGGCTCAGCATTGGAGAGACGATGGCTGGACTGAATTTTCGTGCTTAGGCCCTTTCTTTAGAGAACTTGATTGGCCGGAGCCTCGGCAGCTTCAATAGCGTCAACTCTCGCATCCCAAGGCACAGGTTGTCATACTTGAAGGCTGCGTGTCTAGGCCCTTGATGTTTTGGCTCCCTGGTACACCTACACAATACATGGGGAAGAGCAGTTTGGGCATAGAAGAGGGACCCAAATGCGCATGTATTCTTCCCTCTGAAAAGCCTACATGACTCAAGGCTGTACAAACCCATACTTGCCCCCAAAGTCCCCAAGCTATCATACAGCAGAAATCTCGCTTCGACAGAATCTCGTAGCAGGTGCTCAAGAGGAATCCTAACAAACAAGTATCACGAATCATGTTGCGCCGAGGATTAAACAAAGTGTAATCTTGTTTGGAGTAAAACCCTGCCAGGCAGAGTAATGTAAGCCCTGGATCATCCTAGCCCCATAAACCCCTAAACCCCACACCGCGCGCTCTAACCCCTAGCGCCAACCCCAGATGGTAATTTCGCAAAGGGGATCCCAATGTAGACCCCAGAATGCCTAGTCCTGATTCTTGGGACCCCCCAAAAATCTCTAATTTTGGAAACCCCCAACGAAGTCATGAATCCCAAGCCCTGAGCCCCTGAGCTCTCCACGCCCAGGGTGGCTGCAACCTCATCCCGTGCTGCGCGAAGGCGGTCAAAGGCACCTCGGAGCAAAACACAACACGGTTTAAGGTTAAGGCTTTAGGGTTTAGGGTGTAAAGTTCAGGGTCCATGGTTAGGGTTCAGGGTTCGTGTTGAGGGTTTAGGGTTCAGAAATCATGTTCCGGGTTCGCCGATGCCCTTACCGCTGCTATAACCAAATCTTAATTGTAGCTACAAACTGATTATTCAGTCCCCTAGGCGGGCTTAAGCTGGGGTCCCTGCACGTTTTTTCTAGCTTCGGTGATCCCCACTTACTACAAATGACCACAGGGATTCATGGTAATTACTCACATTAGGTGATATTCCTATCATACCACTCAAATTAGATGGGCGGACCGCCTAACGAATGGAACTGCGCAAAGCGTCCCAAAATAAGCCCCGTGGGATTTTCACGGACAATCTGACATCAGTGCGTGGACTCAGGGTGAAAAGTGTCCGCAGCGGTCAAAAATTCCAACCACCTCCTGTATGGGTATCCAGTAATTTTGAACAGGTAGGCCAGTAGGCCAAACAGAGAGATCGGAATTACCCATGCAAGGGCTATCTTTTACTGGGCTAGCTGAACTGATCCTAGCTCACATCAGCCGAAGTGGCCCAAGTCTCCGGGAGCCCCGATGGTCATCAATCCAGCCTGGTGATCCGATGTCTGGCGGGTTTGAATCTGAATGACTGCTGAACAACCTCTTATTATTGGCTTTCCTTTGCGGTTCTTCCTACGCATGGGTGCATTCCACTTCTTTCATGTGTTGGGGTCTTGACAGAGCTTACTTGCGCATTTAGGCAATAGGGATAGTACGGATTGTTGCTCAGGAGCCATGCGCAACTCTACAAGCCAGCACTTACGCTAGCCACCTTTGCTGCTGTCGCTAGGCAAGTGATGCATGCAGCCTTGATTTGCTTTGTAAAGCCACGGCTGCAACTCTCATGACTGCGTAATTAACCCGGAATGATTCCTAGAGTTCATGGCAAGGCATCAAATTAGATTGGATGCAGCTTTGAAAGCATCAGACCTTGCTTGAAGGAGACTTGGAATCTATGGAGGCTCAGCATGCTCCATCCGCGCTACAAGCATTCATGGAAAAAACATTCAATGTGTGCGACGCTGGCAGCTCAGAACTGTAAAGCTTGGGTTTGCCGCATTGCTAACAAGCGCCTGCTGTGTGGATACCAAAGCTCATTACAGAGCTCAGGGTTGAGGATGTGGAGAGTTGAGGGCTCAGGATTTTGGTCTTTCAGCTTTAGGCTTCAGGCGTTCAGGCTCCACATGGCTAACGCTCAGAGTCCTTTAGCGCATTTGCTGGCACATACGAAACCAAACCCTGGCAAGGACCCTCGTGAACAAAGAAGCAGTATGTTCAGGAAGGAGATCTGCAGGTACTTTGATGTCAGGAATACGACATGCTCTAGCTTCATGTGGGAGCCTCTAGAACGCATAAGCTTTTACGGAGAATAACGGGAATACACTGCAAACAAGGACGGTATGTCTATTTGTGGACTTGCAGCACGCCAAAGACAAGGGCGCCTCATATAAACACTCGCTACTAACCCCAAGCAAGCCTCTCTACACTCACCAGATCCAGAATCAAGAAACCCGTAAACTCTAAACCGTGCTTAGGGGGAGTGAGGGAGTGAATATGGGTACCATTGTAGAGGTATATGTTATTTGAGGCACCAGTAACCCTGGACCCTACTTCACATTCCGAGATCGGAACGGCGGGCCCATAACAGTCCAGGTTAGGGCCCATGCTTGTATACCCAGAACAAGGTAACACCCGTGCCTTGGACCTTGAACTTGTAGACGTTAGTTTCAAGTGCGTCCCATATTATGTTTAGGAAGGGCTCTTAAAATTACTCCTTTCTTCGGTCTTCCCTGCATGGGAGTTTTCCAAAATAAGGGCATGTAATAAGGATTATAGTGTTTGGGGGGTGTCTATGTTTGGGTACCCGTATTTATGGAAACTGCCCATGTTATCTCAGCATCAGGCAAAACGCACCGAGCTTCCACAGGAAGCGATGTGCGACGCAAGCTCGGCAGCTTCCTTCGGCTGAACGCCACCTGAAGAACAGGTCGACTCGCTTATACCCGGGTGACTTACTGGTTCTTAGTAGGGAATATATGAAATAGGGATCACATTGGAATTATCTTCTCCCATTCCCTACCAAGAACCTGTAAGGTGATTAGTGTTGGGATACCCCAACACCAGCAGTTCCTCAAGGGTTGACACTAATTTCAATTCTTCTAAGACTTTGGTTCCCCAGACCGGCCCAAACTGAAGCTGGACGGCTAGATAGCTTAGCAATGTTGAGCAGCTACATGTGGTCATGTCAGTAGATAACCCATGGCCAAGGTTAAGGGTCTACGGGGCCTACAATGAACCCACGACTCCCGTCCACCACTAAATAGTCTGATTGGGGATATGTCGATGTCTGTGCTTTCAGGGGGCCGGCAGACTTTACTAGGCGAAGGGCTACTTTATTGCGGGATACATGTAGGGACCGTGCAAAAATTGATCTTTTATGACTTTATAGGGAATCTACATGTACATATATATATATATGTATATGCATGTATATTCATGTACATTCTATGTGTACATGGTCCCTCCCCCGTCCCCGCCCGTCCCATATATATATATATATATGGGCTGGAGATTTAACATAAGGGTAAGACTATTACAAAAAAAATCTCAAGAATATCGCAGCTATAGCTTCCATTGCCCGAGAAGCCTTTGGTCTCCTCGTTGCTGGTATCCACCTGGCTGGTATACAGGGACATTTTGGGACATGCTCTCGGAATAGAAAGGGTTATATAGGGATTGTTGTATAGGAAGATAGGGTTATATAAGGATTATAAAGGGATAACGGAGAAGAAAATGGAAACTACAATGTTATAATAGGGTATATGTTGGGATTCTACATAGGAGTATATAGGGATATACTAAATCGATAATGGATAACCAAATGGAAAAGAGCATGGCAAACACCATGGAAATTGGGACTAGATAAGGCTTGTAGGTGGGGCGCACCAGAAAAAGGCAGCAGTGTGCTTGGGTGGTGAGGGGCTTCGTCTTCAATAATGGAGATAACTGAGGCCATCATATTACCCGCAAGTCCCGTAAGAACCATGTCCCCAAATCCATGAGGATTGGGCCTTTTTCGTTCATTCTCAACTGGAGGGCGACCAAGGGGAAACTAGTTGGCTTTAGAATCTTGCGACAGCTTGGATGCTATCACGGCTGCTTCCTGTGAGGAGGTCTAGTAATGCCTAGCATCTGCATGGTACCTAGAGACTTTGGGATTGCTATCGTAAGACCATGAACTAAGACTAAGGGACCCAGAAACACCTACAATGTGCGTAGCGTGCAGTGACGGTTACAAGTAGTCAGTCACCGCTCGCGCGCCTGTATAAACAGCTCCACGGGGTCACTGCCTCCCTCGCCCCTTCCAGCGCCTTCTGCGGCAGCTGCTATCCTGGAGTTCAAACTGGCACCAGCCAGTACCGCTTCAAAAAACACTGCCTATGGTGGTTGAAGGCGTATAGGCTCACGCAAGATCATTTCCATCAAAACGTTTTCGTAATCGCCAAGATAGTGATGCTGTACGCTCTCATACTAGCACGACAATGGACAACATATCAGCGTTGCCTGGCAATGGCAGAAGCAGATATCACCATGAGAGCGGACTGTGATCTCTAAATTCCAAAGCCTGTTTGCATGCCTAGTGGCCGCTCATGGCAAAACGGCCAATCTATATAAAGCTATCCTGTAGAGTGTGATGTGCTTTTGTCGCTGAGCTTGGGTCTTGTCAGCCAGCGAAGCAGAATCCACCGTCTCAATGGCCACCAAGTTTGGCAGGCTCACCAGCTTCTTGACCTGTCCCATGTTCTGAGAATATGGGTCGTCATCCAAGGATCCTTTTAGTGAGGTCTTGGCTATTCTGGATGATTAGGTTGGAGTCTCGGGTGAAGGAAACTGTCGACAAAACATTGAATTTGCAGGAACCGTCTGATATCTCGAGGCGTGTAATCAGGACTCCGGTTTTGGAAGCGCCGGGCTCGGATGGTAGTTGTCATAGTCTGTCTGCGCGAGGCATGGAAAAGATTACTTATACGGAGTTTGCAGTACTGGCGTGTCGCAATCGTTAGCAAACAGCATCTTTTGATGTTTTCCGCTATTGCTCCGCCACTCATGTTTCATGTGTCGCGGTAAGCCCTTCCATTTGTGATGGATGACAGCCGGCACATGGAATGAATGTATCACACATGCAAACGACCGAAGCACATGGTTTGACAACACAGGCATCTCATGTTTCGTGCCGTTGTCCAGCTTCACCTGTGGAAAGCATTCTGCAACATGCAATAAGAGCCAGCAAAGCTTCAATACTTGGGTTTAACCTTCCATTCCTGGGGCTCCATGTCTATAAACGATACCTACATGGGGTATTGCTTATAGACATGGAGCCCCAATGTCTATAAGTAGTACCTATATTGGGCTATTTGGGGCCCTGGGGTATACTTGATAGCCCCGTGTAGATAATATTTACAGACTTTAGGATCCAATGTAAGTATTATTTGTAAACCTGGATCCCTGGGACATTTTTCCACACTTTTTGCTTGTAGCGGCGGCAGGTGCGAGAAGCCTTGGTGGGCCTTGTTCGACTGCAGTCGGCCAATGAAGTGCCACCTTCAGGGTATAGACTGGGTTAACTGAATTTAAGGTACTATACTGGGGAAACCCTACTACTTACTACATACCCATATTCTGGTAACTTAATCTAAATTCCTTAACAGCAGCCCAGTAGAGTCATCCCAAGTTAGTAGGGAACAAGGGAATATATTGGGGTTATATAGGGACTTAGGATTTAGGGATATATTGGGGTTATATAGGGATTTAGGGATATATCCTCCAGCAGCTCAAAGGGGTTAGGGTTTAGGGATATATTGGGGGCTCGTGGGGAATAAGGGAATGTGATCCCTATGTAATCCCCCCCCCAATAAGTATTCCCTTGTTCCCTACGAGCCCCTAGTAAGGCAAGTGGGACAGGAGGTTCAGGGTTTGAGGCTTTGTGGGATAGAGGGTCACCATGAAGGACCTCATGCAGGCTTAGGCAAAAAACTGGGTTGCTGTTAAGGAACTTAAATTAAGTTACTGTATTGGGGAAACCCTATTATTTACTATACAAACCCATTATGGTAACTTAACTTAAAGTTCTTTAACAGCAACCCAGAAAACCCTAAACCCTAAACCCTGAAGGAAGCCTGATTCCATACCTCCCTAGATCTTTCTCGGTATCCGTTCTGACACAGGCTTAGGGTGGCTATGCGATTCGAGCTGGTTGTGGTTGTAGGCCTCGTTGATCAAGAGCTATAGTCTGAACTCCTAGTGTCCCCCTTAATAAGCCCTATCATAATCCCCTATATATCCCCTATCTAACCCGCGCTCTTAAGGAGTTTAGACCATAGCTCATCTTAGGACACAATTAGGATTCAGATTGGCGGTGTTTTTCGCCCTTGCCAGATCATCCCCGGTCACCTCACCTCTGACGCTGGATTGGGACGGCATGTGGGCTTGTGTGGGATTTTTTCATCTGACCAAAAAAGCACTACCGTGTTACTTCATGAGGCTGCAGCTTTAAATGGGTCAAGTATCAAAACCGGAGGTGCCATAAGGGCCTTCCAATGAGCATGAAATGAGACTGCGTGGGGTTGTTGTACGCGTTTACCTGCGTTGAAAATACCGACGACCAGACATCAGCTAGAGTCTACACTCCCAGTATCCCCCTGAATAACCCCCATACTACTCCCCTGTGTAATCCCCTATATAACCTCCTTGAAGAGGAGTTTAGACTATAGCTCACATGTACACCTGGTAACGGACAATTCTATGTTGGACCCTGCCATGCAAGGGCAGCCTGATGCTGGATGGCAGGGCAGAAGCTTTGTCGAGCAACTCTTGCACGTAGTTCTCGCCAAAATCTACCTCTCCATATAGGGATATTATAGGGGTTATACAGGGGTTATATAGGGATAATGGAAAACAAAATGGAAACTTTCACCAAAATCTACCTCTCCAAGTTAGAAAGAAGCAAATCGACATATACTCGTTAGCTTTCACTATTCCGAACACCAGCCGGTTTCTACTTATGATTACTACTGCGCACTGCAAAATTCTGCTGCTGGCTACAACTTCCATACATGTTGATGAGAATGTGCCGTCAGACTCGACTCCTGAAGAGAAACCAGTCGGCTGTCTAAAGCAGGTCGAATCTAAATGGGATCTAGCCTAAAGTGCTGTTCCCCAAGTTGAAGTACATATATACATATATACAAATATTTATAGCCGCATCATAACGAGGGACCGATGGTGGGGATCAGTGTTATATTGAGTTTAGGGCAATTTGGTTAGTTTCAGGGACGCTTCCGGATATTCGATGTTCTCGAGATCATGGGCTTGCTTGATTCTTCGATCGTCATTTGCAGATCCAGCCAATTGCAACCCAACCCTGCCAGCCCCCCTATGGCAAAGAGACTGCAGTAATAGCAAGCTGCGCTTAACAGGGAAAATCCCATAAAAAGTCTCCGCTGGCGGCATCAGGCGAGTCATATCATGCATCCCGTAGCATCCCGTAAGCTTCAGGCCCAAGGTCCTTAAATCCCGAGAATCAGGGTTTTGGCTTTAGGTTTAGTAGGCAGGAATTTCAGCGTTTAGAGTTTAGGAGGCAGGGAGCGCAAACATCATGTAAAGCAGGAGCCTGTTGCTTCTACCTGGCCAAAGACACAAGCCTTACATTACTCCACAACTGCAACGACGCTGATGAATAGGGGGCCTTATACTTATACTAATTGGAAGTATAAAACGTAGCAACGCAATGTACTGCGGTTATGTCAGGGTTTAAAAAATACGCATTGCTAACGTATTGCTGCAATTGTTATGAAGCTTACAGCAGCTTACGGGAGTATATAATGCCTACATGATATATCCCTTCTTCCCTACCGACAACAAGTTATGAAAGCTTCTATCTCTCTCCCTTCTTATCCGGCCTGTCCCAAATCTAGAGCAGACTGTACTGCTTCAGCCGGCTTGAACCTGAATTGCAGCGTGCTCTGACGGAATCAAGGGGGCTGGTAACCAGTAGTCATGAAGTTGGGTGCAAAAACAAACTGCTCATTCCCTACTAAGAGGGACCCCAATATAGACCCCAATATACTATAATCCTTATTATAGGGACCAACTTCACATTCTGAGAGATCTCGTCTACTTGGGCTTTCGCTTGCTGGATCGGCTTACGGCCCGAACGTGTACTCAGGGGCTTAACGTGTGCATGCTGTTGGATGATGCGGACTGACTCAACTTCTGGGCAACTCAGAACGACATAGACCGCTTGGATACAACGTGTGTCGGCCGTTTTTGAACCTAAACCCTACCTACGAAAACGTCCAAGGAGATCAACATTTCAAGCAAAATCCCCTCTATCAACAACAGCGTGAGGCAAGATATGAATGTCATTTAGATTCCTAAACATGTTGTCTCAAGCACATCCGGAATTGTGCACTTCGCAAAAATTATCGCGTGTTGTAAGGATGTGTGGGTTTCTCTGCAGCCCTGGTGATACCATTTCTGTACAATCGTCTACATAATTCACACGTGTTCACACTCCACATCCTGAATCAACTATGCCGCAAGACCCTTAAACTCGAAGGCCCTCACACCAGCTGCAATCATCCAGCGAGAAACTTGGAGACTGCCACCAGACGGACTTCCCTGCCGTTTGCTGCTTCGGCTATGCGGCCCTGAACCTTTCGAGAAGCTCATCTTGCTGGCGATTAGCAGGAATGCAGGAATGGAAGAGGCGATCATGGCAACTATTGTTCCCCATATCCGCTTCCCCATTCTTTACTAACCACCGGCAGGCCGGTAAGACAAATCAAGGCTTTCAGATCCTTCAGGTATCTCAAAGTAGGCGCTGCTCTTCGACTTGAGGACCCCACGCAGGTACGTAATGGTATCACCTTTACACTGCTTTACACCACTCAAAATGGATACTTCTTACAAATTCTGTTGCGAAAACAGAGGATCAAAGAGATTCACAACAGGGTTCTGCGCAATTATGGACGCCGCGCCACCTGCCGCAGCCCCTCGGCAACAGCTGTTGTCTCAGCAGCGGGGATTCCGGCCTCAAGCACACCGACCCTGTTGGCATGCTACAGAATGCAGTAGAGATGACTCAAAAGAGCCTACAGGGTCTCATCCTTTCTTTTACACCATGTCCCAAGCCCAGCATGAACAAACAGTGGTGAATGCTACGCTTTCCACGCCTCTGTTTTACAAAGTAAAGCACGTCTGAAGTCGTTTGGAGACATCTGACCCCAAAGCTCAAGTAGCGAAGGAAGCATCTGTCAACGTGTAAGCCCTCCTACCTCTGAGCAACTAAGGAAGCACCTGAAAATCAGCGCCAGCAGCTCAGAACCCAACCACGCAAACTCCCAGCCTCTCCGGTTTCCGGGTTTGAGGGGTTGAGGGGGTCTAAGTCGTCAGGGTATGCAGTTTGCGACTCTGCGGGTTGAGGTCGGTAATATACACTGGGAAAAGGTTTTGGGCATACTGTGCTATAACTCTAGAAGGATTACAAAAGGATGATCGTAGCAAATTTTGTGCCAGGCTGCTACATTGTGTGAGCTTGATCGGCTGGCGGAAAATATGACCCAATCCTTAAATTTGTACCTTCCCTCCGCCCTATTCTCCCCCGGAAATCGCTGTATACACTCACCGAAACTCATAACGAAATCCTGCCTCACAGATTGATTTCCATGAATTGGAACGCTCCAGCTGAATCCCCCACCCCCACACAAATCTTCGGACCTGCCTGTCAGGCCAGTTTCGAC